AAGTGTGATATGACCCATAGCTGATTTTGTTGTCTCTGAGGGTGAGTGAGCGACAACCCAAGGAAAAGTGAGAGAGATTAGTATGGTAATCGCTATTTCACTTATAAAACAAGGAAGTAAAGGAGTGAGAGGACCTTTTAGTACACCGTATATTAGTGGTTTAAAGTGTGGAACTTATTTTAAAACTAATTATAATTTATTTTTATAATTTTACATGGAAGGTAAGGAATAGGTGAGCATAATATTGAAAAACTGCATTCTTATAAATTGTTTTAAACTCTGAGCCTAATAGCTCTTGACAGGTTTGTTAACATGTCCAATTAACTGTATTTAAACAACCAGTTAGACCGACTATATCTGTTGATTAATTATATTCAACAGTTTCCAAACATTTTCAAAGAACAGGTAATCTTGTCAGTATCATGTCTGTCTATTCAATACTGATGTTATTTTCTCAAGTTACAAATACTTTCGTAACTTTCAGAAACTTACAAATTTTAATTAGGTCGTAGTAGCAATGAATTGTCAATCTGTTTAGCTAAAAAACTTGAAACAGCCAACAATCGTACAAAAAGAATGAAATACTTTCATACTTATGCAATTTCTTGAACGTCTTTTTCCATTCATGTTTTTTTTTTTTTTTTAAATCTTAGACTCCAAAATTTGACTCCAAACTCCACTCCAAACTCCACTCCACAACTCCACTCCATACCTCCAGTCCATGAATTACACGGTGCCCTTTTGTGAAAGGGTTTTCGTGAATTATAAACAGACCTGTGTAAAATGGATGCCTACTGACAAAAAATTCACATTAGTCTTTAGAAGTCTTTACAAATACATGTATATTAACTTCATGGCGAGTGACTTGCGGAGCCAATCAATTGCTGGTTAGGTTGACGACCTACTAATTGGCTTTAAAAGCAACCATGTTTGAATATGCTGAAAGTCTGGTAGTCGAGATGAATAAATATGAAGTGATTTTTTTTTCTTAATGCCGTATTGCAGGGACTCCTTTGTAGGCATGCTACATGTCATGTATTTCTAAAAGCCATGCATCTCGTATCCATTGGTTTAAACACACCAAAGTATGATTAACATTTTTTTTAAATTCCAACTGATCTTTATTGCAGATGGTTCATGTTCAGATGATGCACGAGCATCAGACGCACTAAATAAACGGAGATCGCTCGAGATTTAAGAGTTTTTAATTAAATTGATTAAGTTCTAACAAAGTATCTGTCAACATATTCACTTTGGTTTAATTTGCAGTAATGGACCCAACAAAAGCAGATACCAGCAGGTTTGAATGCACTACATTACTGCACCTACCGCATAATAGCTACGTAAATGTATACACAATGTACCATTAGCTTGACAATATACCTCATAATTTATATAAGTCGGGGTTTTAATGCTCGCCTTATACGCTATAAATTTAACAAATCCAGAAACAGTGAATATCATACACTAGTACAATAAATTATTTTATGCATCATTGAAGCAAATTTAGACACCGAGATCGGGTAAGGAAAGAAAAGGCATACGTATCTTTAAGTAAAGGGAATTTAAAGTTCTCTACAGATGTAAATTATTTAGTTTATTTTATTCGATAGTTGCTGTAAACTTTTTTCTTTGAATATAAATAATACAGCCATTTCAGTTAAAGTATAAATTCAGATACACACACAAGTGATAAAGTCATCGTCTAAAATTTGCACACAGGCACGTAGCATCAAGGTGGGGTCATCAAACATAACTTTTTACTACTGAAAATGTTCATTGAAAGGCCGGTTGCCCCATCCCCCTTCACTTTTTTGTTGCAGTATAGTCAAATAATGGTATATACATGTAGAGTGTATGAATAAAAGAACTGCGAAAGATAGCATTGTTCTCCCGCCTACCTTCAGGACAATTTTCAAAAGTTAACATATTTGGATGATTTTTCATATTTATATAAATATTTATATGAATTTTCATAAAACATTACTTCTTTGGAAAAACAAAGAGAGATAACGCTATAATTTGGGTAAAACGTGTTTTTCACTATAGAAATCAACGGAAAATATTTTTAAAACATCCCCCCCCCCCGTGAAACAAAAATTCCTTTTTACAGGTAATATGGACTGTCATTTCACAAATTCATACCAAAGCTTTTTGTGTTTCACGGGGGGGGGGGGGGATATGTTTACAGGCAAAAAACTACAAAATGCTTATTTTTTCACCAATTTCAAAGGGTTTTACAACTAAAATATTGTATTTAATTAATAATATATGTTTAATTTTATATGCGTAAAACATAAGAAAAGATTTTAAGAACATTTATTCATATCCAAAAATATCTCAAAAGGTAGTGATGCTTTAAAGCTCGATTTCAATGGAAAATATCATCTAACCCCCTTAATTTAAGAGCTGGAATTAGGGGTAATTAACTATTTAACACTGGCATTAAAATTATCTGTCAAAAAATTATGTTATCTGTTAAAATTATCTGGGTTGGCGCATGCGTGAGTTTGGAGAAACACCGCTTCATTTCAAAGAGAAAAAAAATTCAAGATTTCATCCAAAAAAGTGCATTAATACAGTCAGGACATACGTAAAGAAGGTATTTAAGGTGTTTACAAACAGTATAGAGCAGTTAAATGGCGAAATATTGTGTATCATTTTAGTATTTCTGATCTAAAATTGAACAATTCGGTGAACAATAAAAGGCACGAAGACACGATTACCATTCCGTCCTATAAATAGCACAGGTAAAAGTTAGGTGAATCTGTGATGCATGAGTGAACAGTATAAACAAACATGGAGTCGGACACGTCGAACATTATTGGTGAATGTAGGTCGGTACTATATGGCGATACACTACAAGAGCAATATGAAAGTGGAGAAGTCACTATAGAAAAGTTGTACAACCTAATGAAATCCATGGGGAATACTATGAACCTAAGATTCAATCAAATAAACACAAATTTTGAACAAAAAATTTCGAACATAGAAAGTAAACTACAAAGAGTTGATGAAATGTTCGAAAAATTCATGAGTTTATCGGCAAAAGTACAGTACATAGAAAGGGAACTCCATGAAATGAACAAAACATCCAATGATTTCCAAGAAAGTCTCCAAGGGTTAAGCAATATATTTGATGGCGTAAAAGAAGATGTGTCGAATTCCAGTAAACAAGTACTAGACATGAAGTCTCGCATAGAAGAAATTGAAAACGATTTCAGTAAATACAGATTTGAAAAAGAAAAAGAAGTAAGAGAAATCACAGAGAAAAACGAACTTCTTTCGGAACAAATCACAGTTTAAATTAAGTGATACCGTAAATCAAAAGACTAAGAAGATTGCTTGGATAAATAATGTCTTAAATATCTTAAACGATTGTGGACTTTCAAATATTTGGAACAGTCAAGCTTTCAATCCAAATTGGTTAAGAGCGAAAGTAAAACTAACTTTAATAGATCAATTTAAACAAAAATGGAATTCGGATGTTCAAAATTTATCAAAGACCCTAAATTATAGAATATACAAAGACGAACTAAAATTTGAAAAATATTTAGAAATTCTATCACGAAAAGAAGCCATAAATTTCTGCAAATTCCGTACTTGTAATCATTATTTGCCAATTGAAACTGGACGTTGGTTAAATGAACCAAGAGAGATTAGACTATGTAAGAAATGTCAATTAAATGAAATAGGAGATGAATTCCACTACATATTAAATTGCACGGCAATGACACGTGAAAGAAATAAATGTTTAACACAAAAACAATTACGATTCAAAATACAATTACATTTAGAGAAATGATGAATTCAGATAAACAGCCATTTTTAAGAAAACTGTGTATATTTATAAAAAAAATTACTAAAACGTGCTCCCCAAACTAGTAAAGACCTAAACCTATAATTGTACTATTTGTCTATCCTCATACTCACGCATGCCATATATGTGTTTTTATTTTTCATCATTGTAGTTTACATTTATATCTCGCTATACAATTGTAAAATTGTGAAGAGATCAATAAATTCAGTTCAGTTCAGTCAATTACCATTGAACTGTTCTTTACTCTCAACAAAGATTTCACGGTCAAATTGCCATTAGTATTGAATTAAATGGGTGTAAAATGTAGGCGGGAATCGAGAGTTAGCATGCGTAGTTCTTTGGTACTGAAAGAAGTTGTTACTGCATCTATCGCATAATATCTACGTAAATGTACAGTATATAAAATGTACAATCAGCTTGAAAATATACATGTACCTCATAATTTATATAGAGTAGAAAATAACTCTGGGTTTTAATGTTCGCCTTATTCGCTATACATTTAAGAAATCCAGAAACACTGAAAATATTATATACTAGTACTTTAAATTGTTATATGCATCATTGAAGCAAATTCAAACATCGTGATCAGGTAAGAAAAGAAAAGGCATAACTATTTTAAGGGGAATTTACTGTCCTCTACATCTGTAAACTCTTTATTTTTTTTTTATTCGATAGTTGCTGTAAACTTTTTCCTTGAATATAAATAATACAGCCATTCAGTTAAAGGTATAAATCTAGACACACACGAGTGATAGTCATCATCTGAAATATGTATACAGGCACGTATCGTCGGGAGGGGGGAGGGGACCCCCATTTTTCTAAACATAACTTTTTACTACAGTATTGAAAATGTTCATTGAAAGGCCGGCCGACACCCCTTTTTTGTTGCAGTGTAGTCAAATAAGGGTAATACAAAGTGTATGAATAAAATTTGCTACGGAAAGAAGTTGGAACCTAACACCCACACACACTCTGCTTGTTAAGTTTTTTTCAGGTTAGTTGAAAAAAAATTTTCTGGGTGGCCCCCCCACTTTCAAAAACGATGCTACTTCCCTGATATATCAGAGATCATCAAATAATCACATACTAGTATTCATATATAACTGTACATTTTAGAAGATTTTAGTGAAGAAAATTTTATCAAGTTATATCAATAACTCTTTATTAAATATCAATACAGGAGATATGATTACATCAAAAGAACAAAACGGGGATCCTCTACAGATTCAGGGAGGAGACTTTTCTTTGTGGAGGACGTGAAGCAAGGCCATAATGGAAAGGGTCCACTCCCAAATAAATTACATCGGCAAATCTTCACGTCTACACAGCCGATACCCCAACAAGTCGTACGCAAACCACAACCCAGCATGCAGACTAATAATTATATTCGAAGTAGCCATGGAAGAGCAACACGTGACGTTCATATTCACAATTCCTACCCCGGCGGTGTTCGATTAGTGCGCTTCCACCAGGACCATGCCAAACCGGTGCTCCTGTACCGACCTAGCTCTCTGAGACCCATATATACGCAACCCCACCTTCCCAACACAGTACCACATCTTCGACTGGGAGACTATAGACCCAAGGTTGTCAGTGGTTACTTCTCACCAAGCAATATTAGAAACATGACCGACGAATCGCTCAAAGATCCGGAAAGTTCATTAAACAGCAGTAAGTGCACGAGAGATTGTATAGAAAAGAGAAATAAGGATACAAATATATTACAGACTTATTTCTGGTGAAATACATTATAATTTCAGCTTAAAATTTGTCTATTTTAGGTAGGTCAAAGTTTCATTGGTAAGCGTTTTCTCCTTTGTAACACGTTCGTGCGGTAGAACTCCGTACTATGCATACAATGTATCACTAACATACAGCTTGTTTAATCCTTAGTATGAAAGCCCGTTAATTTTATTTTCCTAGCTTATATCTTAACGCTTAACTTTCGCGAATAAATGCTTAACTTTCGCGTTATTAACTTTCGCTATAAATTCTTAAGTTTTGCGATTTTGGTGTTAAAACACGTGGTAAATTTGTCTTGATATACTTATGGTAATAGTTAATACAAGCAGAGAAGTCTCTTTTTAAGATTATGTGAGAAATTCAGTACACCTTTAAATGTTACAATACAACTTCCAGGAAGCCATATAGTGTTGAAAGTCACGTTTAAAGCACTGGATTAATTTTAGCTGCAGATCTGTAGCTCGCTAGTTTGAAAAAAAAAATTGGGATGGACGACCATGTGATCTGCAGATCTGTCAAATTGATTTGGCGATTATTTGGATGAAGGATAGGTTTAAAGAAACTCCCAAGACAAGCCCATAGTCCCAAAACTAACATAATCTCTAAACATAAAACATGATCTTATTTTGTGCAAACCAAAGACTATTTACGTTCAACAGTAAAGCTTTATAACAATAAACTTAAAACAATCAGATACTTTTTATACATTTGCCAAAGGCAGGTACATGTACATATATTTGTAAATAATATATTTAGTAACTCGTCAAAATTTTACCTCATTCTCCTAAGGATTAATAACAAACTAAAGGGATTCTCATTTCAACGTTTCAACTGTCAAAAACAGAATTTCTACTTTCAGAGAGAGTTTAAGCCAGAGTGTTGGCTAAAATTGTGTCTTGGGGGGGGGGGGTCTTAACACTCCTATAAAATGTTTCAATTCTTCTTAGAAGAGTGTGAAATGTTTAGAGGACAAAAGTCAGTCTTCATTCAAATATTTTGCAATTAGATAAATGCATGAATTTTATGCTAAAATGCGAAAGTTACGTATAACTTTTGCATAACCATTAAATCCATAGTTTCGCGTTATTACACCAAACATTTTCACCTAGAAAAATGAGCACAATGGCTTTCATACCTAAACGTAATACTGGTGCACAATAAAAATACTGGTTTTATTAGAATCATTACTCACAGAACTCTATTTGTGCATTAACAATTTCCCTCAAAGAGAATACCAGGGTATGCTATAAACGAAGCAATGGAAGTGTTATTGCTGTTTTTCCATTTTCATTTTATTTTACTTTATAATATCATTAAATGCACACACTAACACAATGACAATTGTAACAAATTAAAGTTCCTCATGACATGGGTCTTGATCAGAAGTTCTATTGTAAAAGGAATCTTGTGTCTCTTACACATTCAAAGCACATCTTAGAATCATGAAAGCATAGAGAGAGAGAGAGAGAGAGAGAGAAAGAGAGAGAGTTACTGTTTGTGATACATCTGTACTTTGCTTTATAAAATGCCAACTTGAATTGATAAAATATTTAATTATAAAAAATGAAATATTTTGCAGGGTTCCAGCAGAGCCAGAAAAAGTAAGGAAAGATAAAATGCAATAGTCTAGTGATCATACTTCAATTTATTCTTCACAAGTTTAAAAACGCACAGCTAGAATTTCCTAAAAATACACTTCATTGTCTTTTAAAAGGTGAAATTCATCCATTTAGATGAGAAAGGTACACAAACAAAAGCAGTAAAGAAGAGACACAAAGCTACTAGAAATTCCTCGACCTCCACATCCGACCTCAAAACTTTACTTCCTCCAAGGACCAAAACCATAAAAAGGAACTCGGACTTTCATACTCAGTACATAGAAAGTGGTAGTAATTTTGTCATAATTGACTACCTTGATCAAAGAAACCAAACAAATGGGGAGCTACCATTATCCACCTCTACACCACGGGACGACCAAGAGGAAAAAACTGATCCCAACCACAATATCATTCCAAGGCAAAGAAAAGCACATGAGGGTTCTCTTGATAAGATTCCAGTCTTTTAAGTCTAAGGGGACTTACTTTTGTATTCCAGTTTTACATATATTGCCATTTCCAGATTTGTGTATCTTAGAAGGATTTTGCTTTCGTATGTAGTAAGATTAGCCTTTAGGGGAAACATTTTTTTTTTTTTTATGAAAACCATAGTAAGTGTGCATAATATTTGCAATACTTTTAAACTGAACATATCTCTATTTTTGAATTTATTATACTGTACTGCTTACCAGCTTTTGTTTTGTAATAAAAAAGAATATTTTGTATATATGTTTTAGAAAGTTTATTCAGTTACCTTTTCTTACCCCCTCTTTTCCCCCCTTTCCCTGATTTAAAACCCCCCTTCTTCCTGCCCCCTCCTCCTTTATTTTTTCCTCCTTTCTGTTTCCCACCTCCTTCCTCGCGCCTCCTCTTTGCTCTGAAATGTACAAAAACACGGAACTTTGTACAACTGTACATGACCTGGAGCAAGTCTATTTTAAGTTTCAATGTACTGAAGCAATGAATCTACGAGGCTTGTGGGGGAGGGATGGGGTGGGCATTGTTAGACTATTAATCCAAAGATTAGTGCTTTAAATCCCATTTATGCTATTTAATGTAAATCTGTTGATTGTGCTGTTTTTTAAAATAGACAAAGCATTCTTGTTCATCTAGATAATTCAAACTCAAAGGGAGATAACTCATGATAAGAAATAGAGGACCAGTAGTGAAATGGCGCCATCATGGAAGAAGGAAGAATATTTCACATTTAAACTCATATAATGGAGGCTTTTTATTTTTCTTATGCAGTAACAAAATAAACGTCATATTACTTTACCTTGACTGTTCCTCATTCATGATCTCACGATTGGCAGCCTTAGTAGTGTTTACAATGGGAACTCTGTTTTGGAGGTGATCTAGAATCTCTAGTTGTTTTTTACTCTCCTTGTGAACGTCACGATAGTTTGGTTCAAACTTAAAAAAAAAAGATTGATTTTAATGATATATACATATTTTTTAAACTATGAAGAGAATTTACATAAATGAATATTTCAATTAAATCCCTTCCAAAACTTGTCAACCCTAATTCAAAAAAGATTGATTTTAATGATACAGTACGAGGGCCGTTCAAAAATTACGCGGATTTGTTGCACAAAAAATATATTTGACAACATAATCAAGCAAATAGTCATAAATAATATAAAAGAATCTTTTCATATATGATCATCAAAATTTCATATCAAGAAATTGTAAATTGGTATCAATTTCAAGTGATTTAACAGGACATCTCATGAAGTCACGGCGCAGTAAAACTTTCAACGTCACGGGCATTCTAAAAAATGGGAGCTTTCATTTTCTCAATATTTTCCCTTTAGTTAGTATTTGATACTGGATAGTTTGGGTTACCTTATCCACTCAGAATAAACGTCCATATACCATTTCCGATTCAGCTTAAAAACTATAAAACTATAATTGTGTGTTTTAGTTTGTGTTAAACCCCAAAACTGCAGGTATTTCTGAGGTAAAGTTTGACGTCAGTCGATCTTGATCACATTCTTAACAGCCCAGATCAGTGTTTTGTCGATGAACGTCATCCATCCCTCCCGGATTGCCTTTTAACTAAGGTATAACAATCTAAAATTCTTTTCTACATTTTGTAGAGATGTGTCGGAAATTCCACTGGTTTACTACATATTTCATTAGGATTATTTTGGGTCTCTATTGGCGTTTTCCCAGCATGATTCATGATTTGATAAAATTGCGCTGCGCCGTCAAATCAGTAGACGTCATTTTTGCAGTTGATTTCGTAGGGGTTACATCGGAGAAAAATTACAATATTTCTGTTATATAATATTACGCCAGAAATCTAAATACTTAATATTAAAAAAAAATAAAAAGAAATTTTAAAGAAAATTGATAAATAATATGGTAAAATATGGAAAATAAATTAATAAATTTTTGGATACCGCATGTTTGTTTTTCAACATTTTTGCCGTGCTCCGTATATCACCATCAGCAGTATCAAAACTCCATTAATTTTATGACATATTAAATAAAATCAAAAAATTTTACCAAGAATTTATTGGAATTTTAAAGAAATATGTTCCTGTGAAATTTCAATTCTATATGACGTCTGTAAGAGCAAATAATAGAAGAGTCCGCGTAATTTTTGAACGGCCCTCGTATATACACATTTTTTGAAACTATGAAGAGAATTTACACAAATAAATATTTCAATGTGTTCAATTAAATCCCTTTCAAAACTTGTCAACCCTAATTCATATTATAAAAAAAATTCATTGCTAACTGCATGTGAATACACTATAAATTCAAAACAGAGTAAGCCCGGATACAAAAATTAATAGATCTGAGCTAGAAGTCTGACAGGAGTATTACCCATACATGTGAAAAGAAACAATGCTATATACTTTTCTTTTTTTGCCTGTATGTCGGGAAGGTTTTTCTGTTGGGAGCTTGTCTGTGAACTTCCCTATGGATGCTGTTGACTTTCTGGCCACTGCCAAAGCTTTCCCCAAGTAGTCTTTTGTGGGGGCCTCAGTTGGGGTAAGTCCAACTCCAGGTACTGAGACCAGAAAATAAAATGAAAACATGCTGTCACATCTAAATATCTCAATTTGTATGACCTACAGGTATCAAAGAGTTCAAGAAAATGAAGTTGGATTTTATATCAAAATTATTCAGTAAACATATTTTTGATAGCTGGCTTGCTTCAATACCTGTATGTTTCTGGTACTCAAAATACCACAGGTAACTGTACACAGCAACAGGGTTACAGAACCATTTTTTTGGGAGGGGGGGGGGGGGGTTATATAGGAGTATAAAAGAAGGAAATTGTTTGAAATGAATTTGATTTCAAGTCAGCATATAGATGTGAAGTAAACAACAATGTGCACAGGTTTAGAGGAAACTTACTTCCCATATTAATGATATGAGACAAACTAAATATCCTTAAGATTTTGTGAATATTCTTTGACAGTCAGGCTAACCTCTTATATATTAATTCAAAATATCAAGAAGGGGTCTGTCACATCTAATGCACACTCCTGTTTTGATTCAGATCTAGTCTGATTAAAAATCAAAGCTTTTCTGTGCATCTTCCATTTCTTCCTCTACATAAAAGCCCTACCCCCCCCCCCCCCCCCCCCGTTTCATTTGACATCATAATTATATAGTCTTAAAAGAGCATGGTAAATACAGCAAAACGTTTTTTTCATTCCTATATATGTATTTAAAGTAATAATGATATAGTCACAAAATTTAACTTTTTTACAAACATATTATCATAACTTGCTTATGATAAAGTTAAATTTTATACTAGTTAAGTAGTTTGTAGCAGCTGTACCTCACAATGAACAAATATTAAAAACAGGTGCTGCTAAGTTTCTGATTACACTTACAAAATGTTCTGTATTATATACATGTACCTTTTGACTTCTGTGATCTGGCAATGTTACGGAGTCTCTGTAACTCATTCTTTGCCATCCTCTCCTTCTTTTCTTGTTTTCTTTTGGCAAACAGGTCCACATTTGGATCCGCTGTAATGATAAATTACATCAAAAATGACAAGATTTTATTGTTCTAATTCCAAATATTATTTATTATCATTAAAATTCTGAAACAATTACACATTCTTTAAAAGAAGGGGCAATAATCTAGGAATACATGTGAAATTTCATTTTTTTACATAACAAAAAAAAAACCCAGCATACAGACCAGCATTATCAGGCACCTCTATGCACCACTCTTGTGTGTCATCATTAGCCCTTTTGTATCCCCAGCGTGGCCTCCACTCCTTCAAATTTCAAGAATAAGCTGTAAGCTCATTACAATTACTTAAATTTCCCAAATTAACTGAATTCATACAACAATAAAACCTGAGTTGTTTGGATATAATATTTCCTGCATTTATCAATAAGGAATAGTTGTACAGTGTCCTCTGAATGCCTTTATTTTTATGTGAGAGAAAGACATAGAGAAAACAATCAAAATGTAAGTCACAACACCTGAGTAAAACAACAATGTAGACCAATGTAGACACATCAATGCTGTTTTCATGTGAACTTCTGACAATCTCCCACTATTGACATATATACATTATTTTGTAAAAATGCTGTGTCATATATATATATATATATATGTAAGACTCCAAAGTCCGATAGTGATGCCAAAGTATGATGGTCTCGCCAAACCCCGATGGTCTGCGCCAAACCCTGATGGTTTGATGTCGGTACAGATGCCAAAGTCCAATGGCTAGTTTCCTATGAGACGCGCTGCCCTAAAGTGCGATGGTCTGACACGCCAAAGTCCGATGGTGAGGAGAAACAATCCATGTTTATGACGTCACAATATTCCGACGTCAGTCCTTGACGCCTTTGTCCTGCATTCAAAAGCCATCAGTTCAGTATTCGTCCACGCATACAATTTTACTGATTTTGCTTATTGCTTGCATCCGGCAGAGATACTAGGGTTAGTCCTCGCACACCACTTGACTGATTAGGGTTAGTCCTTGCTTGGCACTAACACGAGAGATTTAGGGTTTGTCCTCGCACACTAGTCAAGTGATTAGGGTTAGTCTCGCACCACCAGAGATATCTAGGTTATAGTTGTTACACACTTTTTGAGCGAATAGGGTTAGTTTTGCACCTATCCAAGAGATTAGGGTTAATTTTCGCATAATGATATTTATTTATACTTATTTAAGACCTTGGCATGGCGCGACATTGCAGTTTGGCGCAGTAGTACTATGACGTCACAAACGTCAATTTTTTTTCCGCACCATCGGACTTTGGCGTGTCAAACCATTGGGGTTTGGCGCAGACCATCGGACTTGGGTGTGACCATCGTACTTTGGAGTCCAATCACACTTTGGAGTCCTACATATATATATATATATATATATATATATATATATATATATATATATACACACCTTTCCTTGATCATCCCAAACCATTCTGCTTTTCTTTCGTTTCTGGATTCCCTTCAGTTGTGCATACTGTTGCCACTTTGTAAGGGGTTTATCTTTAGGTATCTGCAATGAAACAAATCACTTTCCAGTTTATTTATATACTGCATACAGATCGAGTATCACTAAAATATCATATCATATCATCTTGGATATACATGAAATATGGAATTGATAATAAAGCAACTAACAATAAAATGCAAAGTGTTCAGAATTTATGACAAATTGTTGACTAAGTAAGTCATACTGGGCAGAATGATTTATACATGTATAGTAGAGTTTTGAAAATGTGTATTAAAATAGTAAAATGTAAATGTATATGGAACTGGAATCAAAGCACAAGGAAAACTCACAGGTTTTTCTCTGGGAAGAGGAGTCTTAGGGTCTGGAAGCTGTAAAAAATTTCATATCAGTATAAAGTATTCATCTATCAAAAGTATGAAGTTATTTGCAACAGACTGAAAATGGCTTAAAACAATGTGATGAAATTAGAGGTAATATAACCATAAACATTGTCAGATTTGACAAACAAATGTTCTATCCAAGTACGTAAATTTTAAAATTAAAAAAAAAGTCTTTCTATTTTACAGTTAATAAACTTTTAAAGGAAACATAGTTTGAAATTTTACTTTACCTTTACAACTATTGCCTCATCTACTTTCTCTGTTGGAAGCTACAGAAAATTATAAATATCAGCATTTTCTTCAGAACAATTTGTCCTAGATATTTATTCAGCATGACTTTACAATGAGCTATGCTATACTGATATATTTTCAAAATAAATGTCCTACCTGCCACAGAGTGTTTATTAACAGCTGTGTATTGTCTCTTGCTAGATTTTTCAAATATTCATCTCTACTCTTTCTACAAATGATAAGGATTAATATAGTTACCTGTAATTTTAAATGATGACAAATATTACTGGTACATACTCTTTACCACTGATTTCTTAGTCTTCCTTGTAGCAAAAAATAAAGTTGATTTTTTTAATTACAGAGACAATGAGCAGGAGAACTAAAGTGATATGGACTGTATACTACTAAAATGTAGGGTAAATAATAAACACATAATAAATTGAAAAATAATTAACTTAAATTTTAATGTACAAAAACTATTAAAATTTTTCAAAATTAAAAAGAACAAAAGGTTAATTACAAAGGGAACTTTTTTGATCCCTTTTTCTAGATGACTCTTGTTATTTATAATTTCAAAATCGGAATAAATGGAGAAAAGATAGAATACAAAAAGTCACAAAATTTAATATCCAAATTTCCATTAATAAATCTATTTACTTTTAATATTCTACAGATATTTTATCCAATAACAGGGCTTAATTGCCCCTTTTTGTACAGGGTTCTGTACTCTTTTAATTGGGAATTTTAAATCAAAAAAGTGCCAAAATTTTGAAATATTGATGTTTTATATTATCTTTTACTGTTGTATAATGTTAGATTGAAGGCCATTCATCACGGTAGAACACTTACTTGCGATATCTGTGTCACCGGATTCGTTCATTCATTCAAAACTGCGTTTGAACCCGGTTGACCTCTAAGAAAGTCTAAAACTTTTTATCCGGATAAATTGTATTAAATGTTTCAGTGTAAAATAGTTATCCGGAGAAATAGTTTTAGACTTTTTTAGAGGTCAAACGCAGTTTTGAATGAATGAACGAATCCGGTGACACAGATATCGCAAGTAAGTGTTCTACCGTGATGAATGTTTTTTAAGTCAGCAGAATCGGTATTTTTAATCGCATTTCCATTGCAAAACAACATCTGTGCATCCAAAATATGCCTATGATAATGCATGAATCCTAAAACACCGATCGAAGTGGGACCCGGTTTTGGTTCTTCATTTAGTCAATTTCTGAACTGCTTTTATTAGGCCTTTCGTAGAGAAGTTGAGGGGGAGTATTAAAACGAGCCATCAACTTCTCAATAGAGAATAGCCTTACTGCCTCTCCTCAAATGAACATTTGTTCTCTTTCAACATACTGTAATTACTAAACTCCACACACTCTTACTAAGAGAATTATGATGCCATATTTTATAGAACAGACTTGGCCTAATACTTGATTTGTGGATCCTTTGGCCATCATATCATCATAAAAATTGGTGTATTGAAAACAGAATTCAATATGTTTTACACTGATTTTAATTTGTTTTTTAATTAATTTTAGTCTAAGATTTAGTAGCCATGTTATCTTCATTATCTTTCCTGCTTATCTGAACACCAATGCTACAGGCAAAAAATTGGTAGGCATATCCGACTTATAATGTTAACTGAAGCCCAAATCGATGAAGGGGGGTCAAAACAGCATTACGACGCCTTATGTTTAAATACATAGAAGGGGCACCGGGGTGGGATAGGTGTATTTGCTACTGACTGATATAAAATGACAAGTTATATGAATTATACATAGTCATATACATCTTACCTCAATTTTGTTGTGTCTAAGGGATTTGTATCGACAGTCAACAAGTTTCCTGCGTCTACTTCTAATTCAATATCCTTGTGAACTTCTATTGTTTTGTATCTAGACTCTTTTTCAGCTGCTTCTTGTAGAACTCGCTCCACGAGGTCTGCCATGTTTATCACAATTCCACGCTGCCTCTCTAAGGGTAATTTTGATTGGTCAAGCTGAGATAATTGATCAATAGGATTTCGTGTAACAATAGGGCACTTGTCTGTCTGTTCGTCTCAAGTGAACTTCATTTCCTGTGTAAACTACAGAATCCTGTGACAAGGAAAGTTGACAGACGATGACCGTGCAGTGGAATTGCATGAGATAAAACCCAGGACAACTTGTAATTCATCTCCAAGCCATGCTTAAAAAGGAGAATCTGCGAAAAAATTTCCTGAGAGTGAAACAAATTGCAGACCAAAATTTGGGAAGGTGTGGTTTGTATATATTTGTATATGATATATATTTCTATCACTGATTCTTTTTACAGAGCTAACAAAGCATATCTCTTTTATTATATTATACTGTTCGTTTACAATATGGAATATTCTGGATGTACACTGAAAATTTTCATTTGGGGTCTTAAGAATGCCAATTCATTTATGGATGATAGGAATTACATGATCAAATGTGTATGCCAGAGAGCAGATTTTATTGTATAAATATAGGATCTTCCATGGTTTGTGGTTGGATGTGATTTTTATCCATCTCATTGTGTGTTTTTATCCCTGAGCCTTGGCAAAGTAAAAAGACTATGAGTTGGATAAAAATCATATCCAACCACAAACCATGGGAGATTCTATCACTTCTCACATAAGTATTTAATGTTTTACAATGTTTCATATAGGTAAATCCACAATATTTGACTTGATCAAATTCACGCAAAAACTATTATGACATCACAACCATAGATATGAAAATGATATCCTATGAGCTATATCCACTGTATAAAGGCAAAAACATATAATAAATAGTGTTAGATACTCTGAAGGTGAAAAGCAACTAAATGATTGGATCAATATTGTTTTCTGTGTGAGAGGAAAACAACCAAGTCGCAAATCCTCTTATTGATCCAACTTTGCAAAATTTTATTGATAATTTACACTGTGTACGTTCTCTATTGTATCAGTTGTCCATGTGATTAATGAACATCGAGAGAGGTTCATATACTTTGTATTAGGTAGAAACCTCAAACTTTTCGTTCTTAATGGTACCAACAGTATGCATGTATTTATAAAACTATAATGCAATTGCAATAATAATACATAAGCCACATATTTGTTCTTATGTGAATAAAATAGGCCTGCAAGTCAAATCTTTATTTTCCAGTAAATGATGAAGAACTACCTGCTGATCCTTTGATAAGTTATTAAAATTTTGAAATGACATGTATGAAAAAAAAGTTTTGATTTATAGTCAGATATATTTTGGTAATTACATCTAACCTATAGTAACTGAAAATTTCACGAAAACATTGTGATAATCTTTAAAGTTTAGTTCCTCTACTTTTTAATACATGAAAGGATTTTATATAATTAAGGTTTGCAGTAACATTTAGGGTTGTTCAGAAGAGTGCAAACCCAAATATTTTTAAATTACACCACCTTTATTCTTTTGTTCTTATGAAGGAGAGGGGGTTTATATGTTCATTGCCATTTCAAGTTGTAATTTTTTTTTGGTAACCATTTCTCTTTTATACTTTTGTGATATATATGAATAAAATTTGATTTTTATAAGGATTTGATTTTGAAAACAGACACGGATTTAATTTTATTATCTTTTATTTTGTCTCCATTTCCGAGAATGTTCGTCTTTACAAGAATAGAGTGGAAGAAAGCTAAAGAAATAAACAAAGAATTATATTAACTTTTTAACGTCGCATATTGTACAGGAAAATATCACTATATTGCATCTTATATTGAAATCTTTGATAACGAGCACAATGCGTTGGTACATAGGGGAAAAAAATCACCTCAAACTATGTTGAGTTGTTTTGGAAGTCGAAATTTGTTTTGAATAGTTTATCTTACCAGTTGAAAGTTCAGATTCATAATACTTTACAATAATGTTTTGAATCACTAAGGATATAATCACACATCCTCATGTAATGGACACCATTGAAAGAAATAAATGAAAATGCATGATTTGGAGTGCCTTGGGGCTTGGCTTGCAGAACTATTTTGAGAACCGTTCTTGAAGAGTACGGCAAACTTCTAGCACAGAACAGATTGTTTAGCGATTGGTACATTTCTTTTTGTGAATGGTACATTTCTGTTTGTGAACGTTACTGTTCGTTTTGTGAACGGTACAGTTTGTTTCATTTCTGAGGCGTAGAAGCACATTTTAGGGTCTGTAAATGATCAGTAAAAAAGAATTGGCACTATTCCTCAATATCATTTTAATAAAGGTTTGATTTTAGATAATATTATATTCCTTCAAGAGTAGTTTATTGATTATTAAATTTTGGCTAAGCTTGATAGAGATTGTTCATTCTGTTAATTGTGATATTTTAAATTAAAGCAATATTTTCCAAAAACTGTGACTTACACATGAATTACTAGTATATCATCCTTTACAAAATGTTGTTTTACATTGCATGCAAATATGTAACTGATACAAATAATTGATTTTATGATTATTGTTATCCTCAACATAATTATGACCCATATATGTAAAATGTTTTCTACATTTTAAAACTTAAAGGGAAAAAGGAGGTTTCTACATCTTTAGCACTTTTTACCAAATCAATTTATAAAATTTAAAGACAAAAGAGAACTTTAAAGTTTTACTGTAACTGACAGGACAACCAATCTTGGTTAAAATATGATTATATTATTTAATTTTATTTTAATTCTAGAAGAACCTTTACAACAATCATTTCACATGGACTGCATTATGAACTTTAAAATAAAGGTCTACTGCAGTTTGTTCAACTTGGGCATAAATTTTAAGTATATGATATGAAAATATAATATAACTGAGAATTTTACTTAAATACAACCTTTCAATCATAACTTTCAATTAATATCACACAGTATTGTTTATAAAGCTTTTGATATCTATTAAAGGAGCTATATTGTATTAATCTAATTTAAAAAGTAGGTGTTGAAAGTGATGTAAGAGATAATTTGTGAATATTGATTGTGATAAACTATAGGATAATAAATCTATTCATTTGTTAAGTCCTTAATTCACTGTAATATTTCCTTAAGTTATGATATAAGGGAAATGCTGCCTTCTAATGCCCCTTACAAGGTTGACATATAAGATTTGGGTAATTGTATCACTGACCAATTATACATCTAGTATTAATAGCTATGAATTAATTTTTTTAAAAAAATACCGTATTTATTATGTAGAACAAGACCATGTTTGCAAAATATCTGAAATACATTTTTCACATAAATAAGTAAACACGTCTGTGTGATATAAGTTTGTGATGCATGTCTGTAAACACACCCTGTTTCTATGTTACCCAATAGTACTATTTCTGGAGTCCTGGCTTTTAGCCTTGTAGGTACGTTATGTGTTTGTTACATCGTGCTGTCCATACTAACATGGTGTCTGACTGTATGGATTCTGTAGATGAATGCTTGAATGAATGTTGTTGTGTACCTTAATGTGTTTAGTTATCAACCTTAGCTTTTTGAGGACTTTTTGTGCATGATTAACTGAAGTGTTTGTGTAAGTAGTTTTAAGAAATCTAAAGATGCATGCATTTTCATTGCTTCACATAACTACAGAAATCTTTTTTTTTTCATAAATTTTTGTAGTACTCTGAACCACTTTTAGTTTTTCTAGTTTTAATGCATTCTTAGGTTCTCTGGTGACTTGTGTATATTGACTGATAAATAAGTATGTGATGCATTATATTCTGTTACACTACAGTTAAATTCTGGCGCATGGTGACCCGTTTTGAGCATGGCATCCCTATTTAAGAGGTTTTGGTAAGTTTTCTTTAACTCTGCACAGTTTGTAGTGGTTTTCCTTCTCATTCTTTGTCTACTCCGCATTTTATGTAGAAATCCATCTAACATCCCAGTTAACAAGTCCAGATGTTTGGATACCAGATTTGTGTATTTATGTATCCTTATATAATCGGAACTGATCGTCAATATACATTGACGGTTTGGTGTTGAATTCTTTCATAATGTACCATATACCTTCCTGCATATTCTCTTTTTATTAACTATGATATAAATTAAAGGAAGCCAAGGATCTGTTCTGGCATGTTATTAACTAATTAACTTTTTCTCATAATCATTAATTTTTATGGTTTTCCAGAGAGATTGATCGAAACAGAAAATAAAATAAACTCCCAAGCCTATTTTCAATTTCAGTCAATCGCAGCATGTATTCCAGAAGAATAACAAAAGAGCTAAAATCTTTGCAGGAAATTGTGTATCTAAAAGATAATGTGGTTTGGGCTTTGGCTTTTTGCTAGTGATACACATTTTAATAGATTGCTGACCAAAATAAAACTGATACTTCCTCTTTGTTTATTTGTGAATGTGTAATTGGAGCTTATAAGGAAATACTTCTGTTAGTTTTAAAGTAAAGAAAAAAATAACTTAATGAAATTGTCATTATAATTAACTTGGACACATTTTAACACAATAATTAGATTTCTGTATAATTTTGACACTTCTGACAGCAGTAATTTACTTTCACAGTAACTATAGAGAAACTGTCAGTGAGTAAGTAGATAACATGAGAACACACTAATTCTAGTGATTGATGTGCTGTTGTTGAACTGATTTAGAATATTTCCAGTGAGATTACAGTCTTTTAATCCCTTTCCCCACCGTTCTGGAGAGGAATGATCAATTATGAAATATAATTTTTTAATTTCAGCAGTCAAATACTCATTACTTGGAATCTACTGGTACTATGAATGTGATTGAACAATATATTTTAATCAATAAAAAAAAACTCAGTTTTTATGATTTACAAGTACATAAAGTCATTAAGATTTATTACCTGTAAAATATTGTTTAAAGTAAAATCTTTCAAGTTGTATAAATATTTATTGTCCAATATTTGAAACTTAGAATTGATACAAATGCTGTTTTTGTGCATGTTTTAGCTTTTTAAGGAAACATGCATGTTATGCATGTATGAAAATATCTTATTTAAGTTAGTATTTTAGCATAAATGTTTAATAGCATCTTTATCACTGTATTACATGATTTGAATCGGGGGCTAGTCCTGGTTCATATAAGTGCAGGGTTCAGACTACATGTAACATTATAGCACACTTATTTTCTAAGTCCCACACATGTGACCTTTTTTCCTATTTCAAGATTTTACGTTTTTCTTTTAAATTTTTTTTCTCCAATGATGGCAAATAACTAAATAGAATTTGTATAGTGCCTTTGTTATTATATCATAAGATTTGGTTCTTTATTCTGAATAAAGCAGTTAAAGACAAAAAGATATTTCAACCCTTACTTATGTATTGCTAATGAGGGCCACCCTAATGACAATAATGCAGTCGTTGAAAGATTTTTGTTTCCAACCCTATTTTATTTTGTTGTCCTTTGTTTAAAATATTACTAGCAAACAAAATATATTCTCTGTATGTTGCCAAAAGAAATGGATATTAGATCATTTTCTCAAATTTAACTATAGAACTTCTGAAAAAAAGGGGATTAATTGAATTTTATTTTATAGATTTAAAAGTAATTTGTATACTTTCAGGATTTTTATATTTCTGATCACAAAAAAAGCATGTGGTCTACAATTTTATGTGTTTTGATGGGAAACATATTTAAGATGTGAAATGTTCCAATTTTTGTTGCTTATCAGTTTCTGGAAGTAAACATTGGATGCTTCATGTTAAGTAGTACTTGAAGGAAGTATCCAGGAAACGATAATCTCCATTTGATTATTATTGATAGGGAGGGTATCAGCAGTTAAGTTAAAAATGTTGTAATTGAAATTGTTATGAAAATACAACTTGGAAGCTTGGAAAGGGTGAAGAGGAAATGAGGCCAGAAGATTCTGGTCAGAAACATCTCATTAAAATCTTGAAACATTGTTTATCATTGAATCAAGCATAAGATCAAACAATTTTCCCCCAAGACACCCAAAATTTTAGTTGTATAGAAACACCTGTGTGAGATAGTAAAGAAAGTAGAATATGGATAGAGTCATAATTTATTGAAATTGGGAAGAAAAAATATAATTGATTATTTGATTACACTGCATTCAATTTCCTTTTGAAATACCTTATGTAATGGATAAATACAATTTGTTTCTAGAAGAGAAGTGTGACTGTAAGAAGTTTTTGTTTGATATATATGGAAGTGCAAGGGGGAAGTGTCAAATTTGGATTGTAAAGTTGATTTCTAGTCTAGATTTAAGAAGCAAATGCATCCTATATTTAGATTTTGATAAAATTGTGATAAATGAGGAAAGATGACCAAATACTATGTATCCCATGTTTAGGGAAGGAAAACTAGAGAAATTGGGAAGTGTCTCTTTCAGAGAGTTATAATGGAGAGGTGTACTTGTACAATTTAGAATGCATTTACAAGGGCAGTTATTAAATATAATTTGTTGTTTTTAAGAGGCATGAATTAAAGCTTTAAAATATGCTCCATATATTCACATGCACAAACCACATAAATGTTAACTATCTTAACAAAATGAGTACAACAAAATTATAGCTCTTCAAGTACATGTAAATGCATGTTAAGAAGAATTGTTCGTACATTGTTCAAAAAAAAGTGTACATGAAGAGTGACTCTGTTGTAGAATCTTGATGAGTTACTGATTAGTTACCTTTTTATAGGTGTCATTGATAGCTTTAGTATGTAGGTTATGTAATCTGCATGTCTTGTTGACAGTTGTATTGATGTGTTGTACAGTGATAATAGGACTAGAGGTGTGCATTAACAAACAGAACACCACCCTTCTGATTACAGGGAACCCCCCCTAGTGTGTAGAAGAATAAATATTACACAGAACATTGTCTTTAGGTACACATTACATTCCTTTGTTCAGGTGAATCACTGCCCTTTTCTCAGTAAAACCTTGAGTGAAATATAGAAATAGATTATCTACAGATCGCCTGACAGACATAAATTACTCCATATCCTGGAACCGTCTTTCCATTTTAAGATTTATTGATTATTTTATTTGTTTTTCAAAATATTCTGGAAATACGATTAAAAATTTAGTTCATTATATCAGATGTATTAAAATATAGGCATCTTTTTTTTTCTGTTATTTGCATCCTTTAGTTGTGAAATAAATACATCATTGCATGTATGTAAGGTACTTGTGAAGTGAAAATGAGCAAGCCATGCACTAAATGTTACAAAAAGTTTTGATATAAATCTTTGTCTTTTATTATAATCAAATGCCTGTCTTTTGTTATTATTAAACGCCTGTTAAATTGCCACTATATATATACTACCATACTAAATGTTTAATCAGATGCTACTTGGTAGAGGGTGAAATTTTAATGTAACAAATTTCTTTTTTTCCCAAGAATTGCCAAGAATATTTGGACATTTTGACTATAAATGTGGCATAAACAAGTGTTCTAAGACTTGTAAATTTCAGTGTATTTGCAGGGAAAATGATGATGAACTTAATATCTAGAAATGTTTTTTGTATTTCAGGGCAGAAAAGTCTGAAGTTTTATCAGAGGATCTCCAGACAGTAGAAAAACGAGTAGAGTTAGTCAAATCAGTATGTCAGTCTACAGCCAAAAAGATTGCCGGTTGTCTTCAGGGTCAAGGCACAGATTTCGAAAAGAGACTGGTATTAATTTTCTATCCATAAGCTTTTACTTGTAATAGTTTTCATCAAATCTGCAAATGGAAGGCAGTATGTGGAAATTAAATAACCATGGATGCATATTTTGATAAAAGGAGTTTACTACATTGCAGAAAAATTATTTTGCTTTTTGACTTGAAAATCATAAGTAAGAGTTGCTGTGGATAAAAATTAAGATGCTTTGTAACACCATCTGGCAGGAAAAGTTGTTGAATGAGCTAGAATTTGAAACAGAATGAAATTAAGGAGTTGTAATTATTTCAGTTAAAACAAAAATTAATAGCTTTTTATTCTTATAAATTTTGTTATTTCAGAAAAAGCTTCCAGAGAATGCCCTAGGTCTAGGGATGATCGAGAGCAGTGGACTCCTTGGAACAGATTCTGTAATGGGGTAAGTTCAATATTCAGAATAAAAACTGTTTTCAGTTATTTGTATATAGGAAATCAGACGTCTTAATTGGCCTATGACTTTGTGAATGCTATATTTTATGACAAAAAAATGTTGATACTTTTCTACTCAAAAGTACTTGTCTCACTTATATTACTGAATCCTCTTTGGTTTGAAATTTTCCCAAAATGATGACACTCCCCCCCCCCCCCCCCCCCCCCCCCCAAAAAAAAAAAAATCTATGCAGAGATTGGTTTGCTAATAAAAACAAGGTATAAAGAAACTAGACAAATAGTTTCAAGAAGTGTTTTTAATGTAAGTCAGTGTTTTGAATTACTGATGTTTAAAACAGAATAATTTATTTCATTAAATTGTTGATGTTGCATCAAATAACTGAACTCTTGCTTGTGTTTCCATACTAAAGGAGGAAATCATCACATGCTATAGTATAAAAACAAAATTGGATAGACTGAAATATCAGAAAAAATTGTCAAAGTTTGATATTTTGAAATGAAAATTGCTATAAAAATTATTTCTTAAGTTTGATTCAATTTTTCCCAACTTTCTTGTTCAGCTCAATGTTCCAGACATGTGGGGAATGCCAGACCACACTGGCAAAGGAACTACTGCAATATGAAATCGATGTAGAACAAAAGGTCCTAGCCCCTATACAAGAAATACTAGAAGTAAGAACCAGTACCAACACTAAACAGAGTGAAATTTGCTCAGATCCTCTCTGATAAATTACTTGATAATATTTACTGGTTATAATGGCTAGAATTTGTGTTTGAATTTTAGGATGAAATTCCTGTGATAAATAAGTGTAAAAAGCAGTTGTCCAAGCTTACCTTGGACATGGACTCGTGTAAAGGCAGGTGAGTGTTGACATGATTTTAAGTTGCATGTTGCATTGAGCTTTACAAATTAGATCCAGAATATGATTCAATTGTTCAATATCTTGAATTAACATACAGTCAAACCATGTTATGTCAAACTCAATGAGACCGTGAGACTGAGAAAAATTTTCGGATATCTGAGATATTGAGGTTTAAATACCTTTAGAAAAAGTGGTAGGGACATAAAAATCAGAATACTGAGGTATTTAAGATATTGATGTTATAATGTCAAAGTTTATCTGTATATTAATTACCTAAACATTTTACTGTAGATGGAACCAGGCTGTAAAACAAAGTCAGGTCCATGGTACCAACATGGTGACTGCATCAGCGAAAGCAGACCAACTCAAAGAGGAGTATGAGGAGTCATGTAATAAAATGTACCAAGCTCGGGTAAGCATCAAAGTTACATCAGAAATTTGATTTTTTAAAAAGAGAAAAGTAAAACTTAGGGATAGATAGCCTGCAGTTACATTTGAAATTTGATTTAAAAAAAAAAAAAAAAAAAAAAAAGAGAAAATAAAACTTAGGTATAGATAGCCTCCTGGTGTATGTAATGAAAAATAAAAATTGCATCAGAAGAGAATGCAAAGACTGTAAAATTTTTATTTATTTAATTTTTTTGTTTCCTTTGTAGGATAACCTAGCCACAGAAATGTTTAACTTTGTAGCTAAAGAAGCTGAGCATAGTAGTAAATTAATTTCCGTAAGTGTCATGTTCTTTTCTTTTTGGTTGTTGCCTGGTAGAAGGATTCATTGTGATCATTATTTATCTGACTGTCCATCTCTTTGCCTTTTACAATTGTCTAACTTCATACTTTTTAACTGTGAGAGATAGGCCTTCAATTATGAGGCAGATAGTGCCTGAAAAAAGAGGGTGGGTGGGGGAATATGTGTCACCTTGACCTAGATTGTAAAAACATTCCATGCTTTTAGTCACTATAGACATGATAGACGTGGATTTTAATGTAAGCTTTATTATTACATGACCTTTTCGATGACCTTTTCAAAGACAGTTACAAAATTGACCTTGTGCTTTCTCATCAACTTACAGTTTACAACCTACATGTACTTTATAGACAATAAATGCTGAAATTTCTTTCATTGGTAAGGGTATGATATGAAGTATAAATACATGTACTTTGTCTAGACCTTTGAGAAGCAGCATTTTTTTAGGCATTGACTCTGAATCTTCATTACAATAAAACCACAAATTAAGTCCCCACAAAATCACTCTTACATGTATATAAATATTGAATTTCAGCCCCAAGAAAGTTATTTTTACCATAGTAAAAATTCTACAATAAATGCCAAGTAGAAAAGCACAGTATAGTCTTATTTTATATTTACCATCTAGTTATTGGAAGCTCAAAGATTATATCACAAGAGAGCCCTGGAGGCTTTAGATCAAGCAATACCAAAACTAAACGAAGCACTAGGTAAGTGCCATAAACATTTTTGAACAGCTTGTTGGTTTGCATATCTTTTAGGACATGAATTCCTCTAGGTATTACAATACTCTAGGTATTACAGTACTTAATTGTTAACTTAATATATATGTTTTACAGAATGTAATCCACTTAAGAAAGTGTATGGGGTTCCTTTGGAGGAGCACCTGAGGGTAACTGGGAGGGATATTGCTCTGGTGCTGGAAGTGTGTGTAATAACCCTCATAGAAGGGGGCCTAGAGGAAGAGGTTAGTCATCCCCAAAGTATTGTTTAAGCATGCATACAGCATATTTAAATAAAAATACAATAAATCTGGATTTGATCAGTGCTCAGAAACCAATAAAGGAATGGATTCAGTTTGATTTAAGAAGTCAGTTCTTTGAAAAACATTGAAAAGAAATCTAATTTCACCTTCTTTTGTAGGGTTTATTTCGAATAGCAGGAATGGCTTCAAAAGTAAAGAAACTGAAGGTATGTCATCCATTAGTGAATAGCACTCAAAGAATAAGGATCACTGACTGTTCAAAAAAACTGTGACCAATATAATTAATGAATTTCAGAAAGGATTTTAAGTGTCTCTATTTCCATCAATACTGCAGAAATCTAAAGGTAAAGTTTAGACCCTTGTGAATGTTCACTATATGCTATCACATGTTCATTACATTTCAGAATGCTTTTGATGCTAACGTGATAGATATGGAGGAGTATGCCATAGATTTACATACTGTAGCAGGTGCTCTGAAGCAATATTTCAGGGAACTCCCAGAACCACTGCTTACAACACAACTCTACCCTGACTTCATTCAAGCTGCTAAACTGTAAGTCCCGGGACCAAGACAATTTCATTATTAAAAGTTAGTTATACTTTTGGATAAAATGTTTGTATGTTTCATGAATATGTGTATAAAATTTTGATAATGTTTCCAGGCCACAGGAACAGAAATTGCAACATTTGTGGGCTGCAATACGTAAATTACCTGAACAAAATTATAATAATTTTAGGTAGGTACCGCCAAAAAATATTTTACATCAATCTTTATTTAAAACAATGCATGATATTTTATTGACAACCAAACATTATATGTATTATTTACATATATATATTTTTTTGCTAGGTATTTAATTAAATTTTTGGCTAAGTTAGCTGAGAAGTCTGATGAAAATAAAATGACTCCAAGTAACATAGCCATTGTCATTGGACCAAATTTGCTGTGGTCAGAGGGAGATAATGGGTAAGAAATTATAAAATTAAGTCATGTTCGGAAGTACTCACAAAATGAAAGGGTAATGGCCATGAGATATACCATTAATGTTTTCAGATCTGATTATACTGTAAAAATTTAATTCTCCTAGAGAATGAGGAAAAGCAACTTCCTGATTTCAGTCCATAACAGTAGTGTTAAACCAAAATTTATTTTACAGTCCAAACATGGTGACAAGTGGAACCATTAGTAACATGATAGAACTCTTCATCACACATTGTAATTGGTTCTTTCCAGAAGGTAAGAAGCCAATAGTAAAACTTGTCTTATATGACCTTGGTTTGTTGTGTGTGCTGTTGCAAACTAAAATTTTCGAATTAAAATTCTACAAATTAAATTCATAAAAAAACATTTAAATTTTTCTGAAAGGTTGTTCACAAATACGATTCTGTACTTTGAACCAGTTAGCTAAGTTTGTAGGAATGGTTCATTTCAGACGCTGCACATCCGTTCACATTCTACCAGACATTCACACCTCTACCCTGCCCCTCCCCTACACGTCGTTTTTCTGTTCCTCGTCGATCTCTTTCTTCCTCTTCCTCAAGTGATTTGCTTCTTTTTTAATTTTTTAGCACTCATCATTATTTTTGAACCTGTTTGTTTGATTCTCTTTATGTTTTTTCCATGTATATTCTGTTTTGTATTATTTATTTACATTTCTGCAATTTACATACATGTTTGTGTTACACAAATGAATTAAAGAAGTATTTTTATCATATGTACATGCTTTCACTAATGACAAGAACAGTATATAGCAAGCCTTGGTATCAAGTTAGAAAGTATAAGTCTATTCATGTTTAATAAACACACATATTCATTATTCAACAACTGAATTTCCATTTTATATATCAATTCACTTTGTTTGAATTATAATGTTCCTTCAATGAAGAATGTTTCTCTAATGCTTTTGATTTTTCAGAACATTTCTTGGCCTCAATTTAAGAGAAAAGCATGGTACAAAAAAAAATGTATATCACTTAAGCATTAAAACAAAGTTAACACATAAGATATTTTTAAATAAGCATGATTTATAAAAAGTTTATCATAGTGTTTATGAATTTTTTGGTGCAGCTGTTGACTTTAACCACACTACTCGTGGGACTGCTCCCCCCAAATCTCCGGGGGTCAAGGAGTCGCACACACCTGTCACTGCAACTGTCCTTCCCATAGTCCAGGGGCCACAGCATGGGTCAGTAAGTCAGGCATGTGAAATGGCATGCATGACTGCAGTGGGAGCCATATCCTCCCATGTTACTTCTGCCTCTGTGTCTGACGTATTTAATGAGGACCAGAAAATGCCATCCCAGAGATCTACCAGTGCATCAGATGAGGACAACGCATCCAGCTCTGAAGGTGAACTAACACGGCCACCTAGTGGTCAATTTGGGCGTGCCTCTTTCAGCAACTGTGGTGGTTTTCCTTCTAGTAGTACTAACCTCATTCATACTCCTAAGTTTAATGCTGAGGAAGTGAGGGGAAACAGAGGGAACTCAGAGAGGTGCCGATCTGTGCCACCCCAGAGTGAAGCTGCAAAAGATCTCCACAGTGATGTGTATAACACTATGTTTGCTTTGCACTCACTGGGAGGCAACAAAAATGTATCTGACTATCGAACCAAAGTTCGAGATTTGTGGGATGGCCACATGCACAGACCAGCTTCTGCTGTTGTTAGAAACAATAGTAACACAGAGAGTGGAAGCAGGATAGCAGGAAAGCCCCGGCGCTGTGTCAGTCAAGGTTAGCTCCCATGTGATGTCCTCAAAGTCCTATTTGTTTTCTTTTTGCTTTTGGTTTAAGTTTACCCTTTCTGTTTGGTTTTGAAAATAGGCTTTTTTTTTAATTTATGTTTTTTTGTTTTTTTTTTTTTCAAAAGCAAAAATGTTTGCATGGCCTGCTTTTCAATAAAGGATAATTCAGATAGCAGTATATTCACCTTTATTCAGATCAAACCTAAATTGATGTCAGTTTACTACAAATATCATTGTTCCATGTTGAAATACTATATCAATGTTAAAGCAGAAAAGTTATTTAAGTAATACAAATGTAGTCCTGACATTTCTAATTAAAAGCTTACAATAGGGTATCTTATTTGGAAATTCAAGAGAAGAAGAAAAAAAGCTTCCCTGACACTGTTACTCACCTGTGCTGTGTCCTGCTATCCTCTTCCTCCACAGTAGACAGTCTCTGTCCTTTGATTTTCCTTCCATTATTTTAGATTAACAATGTAATACAGTGAGTTCATATTTGTTTTATATTCTCTTTAGTATCATAATGAATTAGTCAAGTGAAATTTTGATGTGATCAGTATTTAGCTTATAATTTTGATTTGCACTTTTAATTCTGCAGTGTGTGCTTTTCCATACTTGTGTTTCATTCAGAACTGTGTGGATTTATTTAATCATAGCATGATGATTTTTACAGTATTTATTTTATGCCTTTGTTATATTCAATCCAATATCCATGAAATATTGCTCTTGTGTAGCTTAGTTTATATATATTATACATTGTATATAAACCTGTGTACAGCAAGCTTTCTGTATATAAGGTCTTTTCTGTAGTTACCAAATATTTGGAAAAGTTGACCTCTTGATTGAATGGAATTGCAGAAAATTGTTACTTTGTAAGAATCTAAACACAGAAACCACCCTTTAAATAGCACATGTTGTATAGTATCTTGTGATTCTAATGTCTGTATTCTTATCCTCAATATTGAGATATATGCAACTTAATTTATTTTTCTACTCAATTCTTCAGAAAGACTTCTCAACAATTTTGAGCTAATTTCAAGCACTGGATGTTTATATCATCAGTTTATTTCTGGAATATTTATTTGTGTTGTATGTCCAATGCATGTATTATTTTCTAAAAGTCATTTTCCTATTTCCAGAGGTTGACTTTGGAACCATGGCCTCTCTGAAAATGAACAGTTCTGATTTGACGGACTTGGACCAGTCATTGACCAATCAGGAGACTGCTGAGTCTACAAATGATGTTCCCACTACCCCACCAAACCAGACCCAGGTGGAACACAGAATCATCAATGACTCGGAATAGTAAGAATTCTGGTGTTTTTTTTTGTCAATGTAATCATCAGGGTTATCCCTAAGAATTGAAATAACAGCCATGGGACATTACAATAGTAGTAGAAGGGGATCTGGGGTTCATACCCTTAAAGGGGTTGAGGGGGAATACTAGGATAACCGGGGGATAATGATAGGGGGGAAAATTCTCGGGCCACCGGGTCTTAGGGACAACCCTGAATAAAACATCAATACAAAATTACTAATACTTGAAAAGATCAATCATTAAAAGGAACCAATTTTTCAAATCGGCAAATTATGACGCTCATGGTCAGATTATGGGTCCAAAGGGATTCATTGTTTAACATACATGTATGCAGGAAACATCTTAGAAATTTTTGCCAATGTAGTCCTGACAGGTAGGCAACAAATTGAAATCAAGACATCCTTGTGAAATGTAGATTAACCTTTCTTCGAACTGGTATCTGCAAATGGAAGCTAATTGGGTCTTCTAGGAAGAACTAAGTGATACATGTTATCATCACATTGAAAAGAAAACCTATCCTGCCTCTGATTAAAATCCTGAAATTTCATTGCTTGTTGAGAATACTAAAACCATATCATGCTGCCCACTGATATGATATTGTTAATATGCCTCCTCCACATGACCAAGCGACCAGATATCATATCAGTATACCCCCTACTAGTTACCCAATATCAAATTTCAATTATTTCATATGTTGTTTTCACTTGATTTATTAAGGAACCTAATAATTGTCATCACAAAAGGATCAGACGACGTCACAATGTAAGAATTTGTTAAGGAACAGTTTGCTTTGCTCAGAGAAAATGAACTTTATTGAAAGATCATCGACAAGATAAATTCATTAAGTACACACTTAAAGAGGTACAGAAATACAGTTAAACTTCGTTATCTCGAAGTTGACGGGACCGTTGATGAACTTCGAGATATCCGGGGTTCGACATATCGAGGGTTATAATTCAAATGAACTTCAAATAAACTTAGTGCAGTGAACATGTACTTAACTGTAAAGACATGTCAAAATTCCTTCTTGTTTGAAATTCTGTATATGTTTTCTTTAGTATACATGTACATGTATTTAGCAATAAAAAGATTTTTGCATCCTCTTTATAATTCACAAAATAAAACCTTTGTATAATATGCACAGAAGTATAATCCTTCTACCAACGCGGCAAGTCAACCGCCAGCATCGTTTCCCATGTATACATAACCGGATATCGTCTATACATAGTAAATTTAAAACCGGTCGCTGTCAGAATAACGAAAACGAAATATACATTTTCTTTTATTGGAAAAACATGATCATACATGTATAATCGGTTAAAATAAAATTAGTTTACCATAATAAAATCAAATGCAAAATAAGAATCACGCACTTTTGTCTAAAGAGAACAACACTGAATCACAGGGCACTATATAGCACAAGTTTTCAGTGCGACACACGTTCACATGATAGTTTGTACGGACGATTGTAAATTTTGCACGCTCATATAGGAAAAATAAATTCTAATTGCATAAAATTACAGAATTTTGTTTTACTTCGATGTTTATAATTTTCACTTTCATATGCATAAACTATGTATGCGCGCATATTTCACATAGCATTAAGTAGTGATTATCAAGATAAACGTACCCAAGTCACAAAACAATTAACGTGTCATCCATGCGTATGCATTAGACTAATACACACAACCTTTGGCTTGCATAATTAAAATCAAGGTAAGCCATACATATACTTCGTATAATTATCGCGCTATTAGCTGTTGATCACAGGAACACAGGTAACCCGAGCGTGACTGACAAGTGGGTGTTATCAATAGAGCATTCAGTTTACCTAACGGACTTGATCATCAGAGCGGAAAGTTATCCTGACTTCGAGATAACGCATGTGATTTTAATGAATGGGTACACAATTTTACTTCGAGATAACCGGGGTATTCGACATTACCGTGTTCGACATAGTGGGGTTTATTTTAATTATTTATAAAGCGTATATCTTCGGGACCGCGGTCTTACTTGGACATATCGGGGGTATTTGAGATATCTGTATTCGAGATTTCGAAGTTTAGCTGTATATGGGGTCCTTGTGAAAATGCAAATTAGGCGAGGCGTAAACCGAGCACAATATGCATTTTTTAGGTCACTTGAGTCACTCAGGTGACCTATTGCTATCTGTTTTCGTCCGTCGTCGTGCGGGTGTGTGTCATGCGGGTGTGAGCCCTTGGTACTTAGGCCTCTTTTTATTAAAAAAAAATATGAACAATTCTTTTTTTAATAGTGATTTTTCTTCTGTAGTGCTGAGGTTTCAAAAGTTCAGAAGAGACTGCCAAGGAAGCCAGCACCCCCGCCCCCAGAGAGACCTAGTTTACCAGATAGACCTTACAGCATTGCGGTGACAGCACAAGCTCGGCCACCTGTTCCCCAGGCACAGACCTGGCCCCGGCAGGTGGAGGCTTCACCAGGAGAGACTGTGCCAAATATGGAGCAGAGTAAACCCAAAACTCATCCAGACAAACCCGCTCCTCCAGAGAAACCCATGGGAAGTCACCCTCCACAACGATCAGCAACGATGCATGAGAGACATTCTCATTCAGACAGGCCCTCTGTCCCCCCTCCAGACAGACCAAAGGTTCCTCCACCAGCGGTACCAAATCATCAGCGATCAGCTTCCACTGGCACTCCCAGTCAGTTTGGACCCACGATTTCTTCGTTCCCTGACAATGATCAAGGTAGACTATCCACTAATTCTTATGAATCCCTAGATAAACAAGGATCTGGTAATCTACTAACTCCTGATGGGCGACTTCAATCCTCGTCCAATGAGCATTTGTCTTCTAACCGCTTACATCAAGGTAGTGCAAGGCCTCAGCGCCCCCAGCCCCCTGTTATGCCACCCAAGGAACCTCACACACCTCCTGTAGCCACTCAAGATGAGGAAACTCATTTGTAATGTAAACATTGTGATATTTTTAGCACTGAATCAGTGTCCCCTTCCTAGGCTGGTGACATATTTATTTTATCACTCAAGAAAATCAAATCCTTGTTGCTTGCCAGAGCACCACGTGTACAATGCTATGCACACTCCCCAGTATTAGCATTGTTGTGAATCATTATTATTACTGATATGTATTATATACCCTCTGTATTGTGAAAATGTGCAGCTTTTAGGGGTACATTTTCTGTGCCAGCATTTATATTTTTATTCAGAATTATAGCAATATTTTAGTCTTTGATAGATATTTTGCTATTAAGTGAAAGCTTTTTGGTGTTTAGATGTTGTAACATAATCATAAAAAAGCATCTTTTTTTTAAAAAGCAAATTATCAAAACAGATGAAATAGCCAAAAAAGTCTTTAAAGCCACTTGGTAAACGGGCAAAAAACATTTCAATTATTAATCATGTAATATGCTAGTAGGTTAGTGAAATGTCAGATACCTCCACCACTTCGTAGATGATCTGGTTATTGCACTACCTTTGCATTAGGGCAAGGGACAGGGGTAAAGCGCATTGTATTCACCAACATTGTATGTCAAAATAGCAGCATGTATTATGCATGATACAACATTAACATGCTTGCTTGTTATAAACTTATGGAAATTTAGAACTCAAAGAATTTGTGATAATACACAAGGTTGTACAATTCGTTTATTATCATGGTTTATTTGTCAGGCCAAAACTTTATAATAAGCGACTTTTATAATAACCATAGTCGGCTGAAATTCATGTCGGACGGCTGACGATACGACGTTTGTTTAAATTATTGGATGTATTATACATCTTACGTTACATATAATTTCGATTTTTTAGGTTTGTTTGAAATACAAGTTAACTGACATATCATTTCACAATATTTACTTACTGTTTCAACTTTTTATTATAAATAAATTCACTTAAATAAAGCTTAATACGCTTCAAACTCAATCTTATCCCTTGGCATCCATCTTGTTTATTTTGATCTACTTTCATTTTTAATTTATGGTCAATTCAAATTACCAATGTTTCGTTTCGTATTTTTTTTTGGGGGGGTTTATTTTTTTGGTCACATATTAAATAAATTAACACAGCAACAAAGCATGCATTCAAATTGTTTCTTTTATTCATCCAAAGTAGACATAAAAAATTACCTATTTACACTTAATGTCGCCGTATAATGAAAATTAATTGAGACACTGATGAGCATATGCATTCAAAGCCGCTTGGACAGACTGGTGAAAGAGTTAATTTCACTTAATTATTTCTTAATTAATCGGGTAGTTTTGTAAATGTAATTAACTATGAACATTGATCCAGGCACCAAGCGTAAGAAAGCTTGGGTTAATATTGACACTAAAATTAGTTTCAACACATTTGGTAAAACGTATTTATTACGAACGTACAATTCAGGATTAACATAAGAAGAAAATAAGTTATGAAAAAAAAGAGTCCGTGTTATCCTGTCATGTACTTCATGAAATAAACAGACTCCCTGTCAATCGCTCAGGTAAGTGCACTGAGGTGTGACTAATCTCCCCAGTCTTTCACTATCGGCAAATTTCAAAGTGAAAATCAAGCCATTGTGTATAGACAAGCGACAGTGCATGAACCACAGGTGTAGATAGGTGTTATCTTTTGTTTTGTTGATTGTCCCAAGAGTGAAAAGGTGTGAAAAAAATATTACGGACGGACATTTTCTATTATAGTAAGCGAAGTGTATACTTTTACCTATGATAATAACAGACAAAATTTATAATGAATTATTAAGAAATGGTTTTGTGTTTCAGATATCTATGATAAAAAAAGAAGTATGATATAAAACCGGTATGATAAAAAACGAATTGTACTGTATGTTAATTTCTACAAAACGTAATGTGAGTATACCCCCTTATACATGTATGGGATCTTGCAATTTTGCTTTAATTAGTATACATCTTTTTTTCTCTTATGGAATATTCATATACATATGTATTTAATACCAGATATGTTATATTTTATTGCTTGCTATTTTCTTCAGTTTTTTTATTGGTATACATAATAATTAGTAGTACATGTTGAAACTGTGAATTTATGTAAGGTTGAACATTCTATGAAAGGATGTCGCATTTAAATGTAAAAACTTGAAGGCAAATCATATATGCATGAATAATGGACATCATGTAATTATATACCATACATGATGACAGAATTTGTGCTTAACAGAGAGATTTGCATTATTCAGTGATAATTTTTAATAGCTAATTTTGCAGGTCTTAAATAGAGAGGTTCAAAATAATCAAAATATTTAATAGTAGAATAATCGGCTATATATTTTAATACTGATACAATATTGTTTGAAGTCTGTCTTCTTTTCTAGTATTTTATGGCAAGACATGGGTTTAAGGTAAAATGCCATATACTGGTCTGATTAAGGCTACATATTGCTCACATTATGTATGGAAACTATTATTATTATCTTAAAAAATACCAAGATGATTAAGAGAACATATTGCCTACTAAAATGTGTGATATATGCTACAAGGAAAAAACCAAAGACTGGTGTATTTAGACCACAATAACTGTATAAAAGTGCTGTGTATTATTAATTGGAGGCTAACATTTACTCAGTTTGGAAATATTTGATGCTGCTATTATGGCAAATGCAGGGCATTTTTTATGAACATTTTAATAGGGAAGATTTTCTTTACAGTTTGTGTATAAATTGTAAATAATCTTGATTTCACTTCATAATTTATAGTTTTTACCACCATTCAAGAACAGACTAGTAGTAAGTTTATTGAATGAATACTATATTCTTTTTTTCCCTGGCCAGTGGTTGAAGGAGAGTAAACAAACGTCTGGCCAAAACTTTAACAGCATGATCAACATACTGGAGTCTTACTTTATATGATCTGAATGAACAAATATTAAGTATCTTGTCAATATTTTCCAATGGTCTGGAATGTCTGAATTGCAAGAGCAATATTAGCATAAAAATATTTCATCATACAAGGAATTGAGTGCATGATTTTTGAAATGTATTTCTACAACCTAGCTGAAAAAGGGGATGTGCATTTTTTGCCATATATTTACACTTAAATTTATGGCATATGATTGGTTACTGATTTACCCACACTCACATGAGTACTCCCTAAGCAATATCTGTCCATCCACATGTTTGGTTCTCTCTCTCTCTCTCTCTCTCTCTCTCTCTCTCTCTCTCTCTCTCTCCTGTAGCTAGCCTACTGTTTGTGATTTTCACAGTTTATGTTTTGGTAATTGAATTTTCACCAAAGAAACTCTTTTAAGTTTGAATATTGCTACCACCATTTACACTACATTCTGCACATGCTTGTCATACAAATAACCAAATTTATATTACCCTAAAATCTGTATTATTTTGAAAGCATTTATTAATTTGTATGCATGAAATTGCTAATATTAGAGAGCAACTGAATTTTCTAACAAAGATTTGTTTACTGGTTTATCAGCATGCAGACAACTTGGCTCAAGTGAGCCTTGCTGAAAAGTTAAAGATAAGTCTTTTATAATAAGTATATATTCAAGATTTTTTTAACCTTCAGTGTGAAAGATTTTCAAGATTGTAACATCTTACTAATCCAGCATTACCGAGTCAGAGAATCTCTGAAAATATTGACCTTTTAATTTGACAACAGTGTGTAGCCAAGTTGTCTATATACATAAAATTGCCTTGGAAATGACCAACTTACACATGTATTTTGGTTAATAACAAGATAAAATTTGATTTTGAAAATTTTAACCTTTGCTTCATTTATTTTATGTTCTTTCATTTCACTTTAAAAGTCTAAAAGTGTCATAAAGCTAATTCTTGGTAAGCAATATTTTTTAATTTCAGATTGTTTGTTTAACATCATTGAATTAAACTGCATGTCATTTTTGATTTTTGAGATTATTGTTGTGTTATTTAATAATTTGCCTTATTTGCAGGTGCGTGTTTAAACAAAACTGGTACCCTGTAACCTGGTACCCTTAACCTTGACTGGCCTGCCTTCATTAACTGCATTTTGCTTTCATGCATTCCATTTGTTTCTTGTTCTTAATTTTGTGGGCTTTCATTCTTTGATGTTGTAATTTTTATTTTACACAACATAGAAAACTAGAAAAAAAAATTAAGATGGACTTTTTTGGCATATAATATTTGGAGAAATTTTAGAGAAACTATTCATGTCTAATGATCACTGGAATATGTAATTTTATCCATTTTCCAGGGCTACACCACTTACAAAATTCAAATAAACTTGCATATTATGAATCAGAAAGTGTACTTTAAATAATAAAAAAAAAAGTGAGCTTTCATCAGCTATGAATCTTAGACACTGTTCATTTTCTAATTAACCCTTATAGTGAACTTATAGTGAACTCTCGAACTTAACACCAGGGTACATTCATTATAGAACAATATACACTCTGTCAATTGTTATTGTTTTCTCGTATTTATTGCACAAAAAAGTGCTTGCTGGTTTTATGGATTTCTTTGTATTTGTTTTAGAATATGGAATATGATGGAAAGCATAGAGTGAATCATTCAAGATTTTAAAAATAGTTTCCTGAAAATTATGCAACTGTATATGTATATAAGGAAATAATGATAAATAAATATTTACTTAAAAATACAATGTAGATACATTTAAAAACTTGTTTTGGATACAGATGTATACTCATGTAAAGGATTTTCATATATGTTAATTGGGAAAAAAAATTATCAAATCATTTGTCATTGTCTCCCAAAATATTTGTGAGCCACAGTATCTCACAATGTTCATATTGACTGCTATGATATGTGTAATATTTTTTATAGTTGAGATATTTTTTTGTACTGTGTACGTGTAATTAGAGACAAGTTTGTGTTAAATGTTGCCAGATAATTCTGTTCTGTTTGTGATAAACATTTTTGAGTTACATAACAGTGTAATGATCACTGCTGATTATCCAATAGAGAAATAATGTTTTTTTACTCTGGTTCATTCTCACAAACTTACAGTTGAGCAATTTAATAAATATTTAAACTTGTACCCAGAGTGAAATTTTTCTCTAAGGATTGTGCTGAAAATACTTTTTACATATAGGAAGCTTGGTTGGAAGTGTGAATGAAACAAATGCAGTTCAATACATGAATTAGCTAACAAAATACTACTGTAAATCACTTTTTATTCATGAGAACTTTATTTTCCTGTAATTACGAAAGACTGTTTGCTCTCGAAAAATTTCATTCTCCCGTAAATTTTTATTAATATATCTTATATATACCAATAACCAGAATTCGTGAAAATTTTGTCTCGCTTATAAATACAAAATGCATTTCTTGGGAAAATAAGGTGATCTGTAGTAGTTTATATATTGGTATAGTTATTAAATAGTTAAATCTCATTGTATTGAACTCACCGTGACTGAAAGAAAAAAAAACAAAACAAAAAAACGAGAGATATCCAAGGATTTGAGATATTGAGGTTAAGATGTGCACCTTGACATATCCATGGTATTCATGTTATTCATATTCAAGATACCAAAGTTCAACTGTATTTATTTGATTGAAAAAGTTGAATTCAGTTGAAATTTACCTCTTCTCTGGTCAAGAAGATGAAAGTATGAAAAGTTTATGGACATCAA